TCCATGTATGAGAGAAAACATACAACCCTTGACGTTGGCTTTTTTCACTTAACACATACTCTCAAGCTCCATTCATTTTCCTGAAAATAACATATTTTCTTCTTTTTAGCTGAATAAAACTCCCGTGTGTGTGTGTGTGTGTGTGTGTGACAGATATATATCTCACATTTTCTTTATCCATTCATCCATTAACAGACACCTAGGCTGGTTCCATAGTTTGGCTATTGTGGATTGTACTGCTATAAACATGGGTCTGCATGAATTGCTGTTGTATGATGACTTTGATTCTTTAGGATAAATACTGAAGATTGATATAGCTGGGTCATCTGCTGGTTCCATGCCTAGTCTTTTGAGGAAACTCCTTATTGATTTTCATAGTGGTTGTACTAATTTACATTCCCACCAACAGTATAAAAGTTGACCTTTTGATTTGATACTCCCCAAATCTCCTTGTCTCCTCAATGGCAATTTCACTCACTCAGGTGTAAAAATCATTTACATATTTCTTATTTTCTCTCACTCCATAGGCCAACACCAGTAAACACATTCTCCTCTACCACTCAAATGTATTCCAAACTATAACTGTATCTCACCCTCCACTGCTGCTATCCACATCACAATTATTCTCACTTTTTTTTTTTTTTTTTTTTTTTGGTACTGGGGATTGAACTCAGGAGAACTTGAGCACTGAGCCACATCCCCAGCCCTATTTTGTATTTTGTTTAAAGACAAGGTGTCACTGAGTTGCTTAGCACCTCGCCATTGCTGAGGCTGGCTTTGAACTTCCTATCCTCCTGTCTCAGCCTCTGAGCTGCTGATTACAGGCACGTGTCACCATGCCCAGCATCACCTGACTTTTTATAAAAGCCTCCTAACTGGTCAGTGTGTTTACCACTGTGCCCTTCCAACAGTCAGTACCAAACACAGGAGTCAGAGACTCTTTTTAAAGTTTAGTCAGTTAAACTCCAGTGGCTTCTGTTCTCATCCAGGTTATCACCCCAAAAATACTCTGAATGGCTTGATTCTTTTTCTGCTTAGGTTAGACCATAACCTCCTAAATGATTTCCTGACATCAGTCTACCCGCCCTTTCTTGTGTATATACTGCTTCTGAATTAAACTTCAATAAGCACCTAGAGTCCCAGATGGTCTATATGGTGCCATATGGTAAACCAGGGAAAGGCACTCCTTTCCTTTCACAGCCCCACACTGGGTGCACATCCAGCCTGCACAATAGCATATGGCTGCCCTGAAATCACCACTAGGACCTTTGGATTTTCAGGCTCAAAACTGCTCATGGCTCCTGACTATGGTCTAACATTCTTTCCCTGTAATTAGAGATTGTCTATTTTATATGTTAGATCTTTTTCTTTTCTTTTCTTTTCTAATAGTATCTTCACATATCCCCTGTTTAAGCTAAATTGGACTGTTTTGCATGTTCCCTCAAACAACTTTTTTTTTTCTTTCTAGCTTCATGTTCTCTTTCCTCCACTGGATTCTTTTTCCTGTGTTTCACAATGATTTATTGAGGTGTACCTGTGTTTTCTATCTGTTTTTCCTGCTTGGTTTATAGGAGATTCTGAAGTCTGAACAGCTGGAGTGGCTTCAAGATAGTTTCTTCTGTGTCCTGAGGCTCCAGTTAGGAAGAAGTTACATAAGTAGCGAAAGAAGGAAAGAGAGAAGGGAAAGAAGAATAAAGTGGTGGGAGAGAAAGTATGAGAGGGGAAGAATAAACGGCAGAAAGAGAGATAGAGAGAGCAATTCAGATAGACTTTTCATATTGGTCCTGAGTAATAGGAAGAATCTAGGTCTATTGCTAGGTCATACCCCTGAGAGTTAACAAGACCTCAAGGAATAAGACAAGGAACAAGGAACAAGACAGGCTCTTGTGTCTACATATTCGGTACAGAATCATATGCCTTAAGATTGGAGTGGAGGCAACAAATTTGTTGAACTTTTTTTCCAAAGGAAAAATAGGTGTATCAAATTTGTTTATCAGTAGGAAGACTGTAGAATGAAGGCCAGTTGTGCTACCTAAATATATCAGCATTCACTCTAAATTTTCCACAAGCTCTAAGGGAGACGGGAGAAAACATTATTGAAAAGATGAAGCTCCCAGTCAGCCTGGTAGAATGGGAGCTGAGGCCATATTTAAATTGGATACTAGGGGCTGGGTTTGTTGGCTCAGTGGTCCAGCACTTGCTTAGTATGCACAAGGCCCTGGGTTTGATACCGCTCCCACCCTCTGCTTCAGCACTTAAAAAAATTAGATACTAACAAACCTGTCATATTTTTAACCATATCAACTTTTGAGTAAAATTCTTTCCCACCAAAATGCAAAATAGTTTCTCTTGAGTCTCCAACCTGCCCATGTGGCAAAGCCCATCTCAAAATCTTTCTCCTCCAAGAAACCTTCTGATAGTTCTATAGAAGAGCTTCCTCCTATAATCCTCAGGTCCATTATGTGTGAGCACTGAGAGAATGAGACCTTCTAGTGCTGCAAGTATACAGTCTGCAACTTCTTGGATTGTTTAAAATCACAGCTTTCTAATACTGGTAACTCCAAAAAACAGGAGCTGTGGAGGAAGGCATATGTGGGTTGGACTCTAATACATATTGACTGTTAACATTCAATATGTTTTAAAAATTGCTAAATATATGGTCTTTACATCTATAAATGAAGTCAATACCACCCATATTTTCTACTTGTTGTAGGGGGTTATATGGGCCCATGTGTGATGTCTAACACAAAGTAATATCCTTAATAAAGTCATTATTGTTTCCATGGTACTAACCTTCCAAGAGAATAAATGACTTGCTTCAAGTTACAAAGAATAAAGAATAAATGATGGAGTCAGGAAGTAAACTCAGTTCTTTTGAATGCCCAATGAAGTTTCACGAAACAATATTCTCTTCAATCCCAGAACTCATAATGTACTTAGTGAACTGCTAACCCATAAGGGTTCCATAATGAATAATGAATAAGCAATGAACTAAACAAGTGAAGCAGATTACCTGTTAAAAATGAAAAGACTAGGCTGGGAACATAGCTCAGTTGGTAGAGTGCCTGCCTCGCATCCCCAGCACCACAAAAAAAAAAAAAAAAAAAAAAGAAAGAAAGGCCTGCAAAATTTTGTTTTCCACATTTTCATATAACAGAATGCATATCTGAAAGAGTAAAAAATATACTACAACACAGAAACGATATCTGCTTGTTATGGTGATTATAAAGTATCAGATAAAAAATGGCGAATTCACAAGAAATCATAATACATATTCCTAAAATAGCCATTTTAAATATTTTGGTGTATCTTCTACCTAACATTTTTATAAACACACAAATTTTTAAATCAAGATGCAGCCATATTATTCATTTTCTTAAATCTGTTTTTTTTATTTAACAATATCTCATAGTCATTGTTCCATGTGACAAAATGATAACTTTATGGTATGTATTCCATTGTATAATCGTACCATTACTTATTTAATTGATCACCTTTCAAACGTTTAAGTGACTTTTAGTTTTAAGAAATCAATGTTAATTGCTTATTTTGTGAATATGTCTAATTATTTACTTAGAGTAAATTCCTAAAATTTTTATGCATGTTATCAAGTCACCTCTAGTAGGACTGGGCCTATTTACATTCTCATTAACACTGCTGGGAAAATTTGAAAGTAAACTAAATCAAAGTTTGTTAAGTCTTGTCCTTTTGAATTTTTTTTAAATCAAAGGATGAATCATTTCTGCTTTATTATATTTTCAATAATCAAGCAATGTAAAAAAAGATTACATAAAATGGATTGTCTTTACACAAAATTAGACTTTGAACATTATTTTATAACTTATTTTCAACATCTACTGTCTCTGTGTTGAAGATGTAGGAGAATCACTCAGGCAAATTCATTTCTTTTCTTTTCTTAATTTTGTTTTGCCAAGTCCCACAAATCTATCCTTCCTAATATCTGTGGCCTACTGCATAATTAGGCAATTTACCCTTAATTTGAAAAAAATGACAAGATTCTCTTTATTTCTACAATAATTGCCTGTATTCCTCCAGGACTTTAAGGGCCAGGAGGTGATGAGCCTATTTATCTCAGCTTCTCAGCATCTAGAGCACTTCCTAGAACACAGCAAACCAAGCGTTGGTTGAATTGTTAATTCGTTTTCTTTGTGGTAAACTTATTTTCATTCATGCTAGTGTGCTCTCAGTTATTGTTAAAAAACAATAAAAAGGAACTGTGTTTGGGCTTAGAAGAGAGAATCCAGTTGCTTTTTCGATCTTGTAAAGAAATGTTAATATTTGATCCTATTTAAACTATGCTTTGTTTTTAAAATTTATAATCATTTATAAACAATATTCTTCAAACCGCAACTATCCCATAGCCAATATAATTATTCTTATTTTGAAAGGGGAGATCATTCATTATCTCCAAATCTGTGTTTCCAACATTTTTGTCTTCCATGGCCCATACTGATGCTCTACTACAATTTACTGTACTTTTCCTTTTAAAAATAATTCCCTTACATAACTCCTCTTTGGTACTGTGCATATTTTTCTCCTCTTATAATTTTCTATTATTAAAGTTAATAACTTTGTGTCAGAGCATTTTAAGGAAGCTGTCCTATTTATTTTCTTGCCTAAATCGTCCCTTTTAGCTGCTGGTTTAATTCATATGATTTAAAATTTCCATAGAAGCAGTCTTTTCCCTTGCTTAATATCCTGTTTCCGTTTCCATACCAATTTAGAAACACCTGCTGAAACAGAAAAGTGAACACAAAAATCTAAAAGTTTACCATCATCCAGTCATAAAAATGAGACAGCAGCTGCCTTTTCCATACACTGAAAGGTGAAAACAGTGCTGTCATGTGACATGCCACACGTCTACATTTCAGAATCCCCATTCTGGAAAGCACCCACAGTTTAAAGTTAGTATTTGCAAAAACAGGTCTATATATTTTATTTCCGGTCACCAACAGATTTGCAAAGGCTGCTGTACTAACCTTGACTGGTCAGAATACCCCAGCTAGCTTTTCGTTTAGAAGAATATTCCTCTATACTGGCTAGCCTTCTTTTCGTGAGGATCTGCTTAATGCAGTTCCTTTCAACAGCAATATCTGCGGACATAGTTTGGTTGACGTCTCTGCCTGTGACAAGCAGGTATCATGAGTGCAAGTGCTCTAGCCAGAAGGAACATTAGCGTCTGAATTTCTACCTACTTTTTCCTTCTTCAGACTTTCTCAAAGGTGCCTGTGTGCTGACTGGAGAATGGCTTCACAGTGAACTCTATTCAGAAACCCTGGGAGCTGGGCTGGTTGATGTCATGTGGGGGATGGGCCAGAAATGCTGTAGCATTTTCTATTTTTAAAGTGGAGACTCCCTACTGCCTGAAGTCTGTAACTATTTGTGTGATATAGAAAGAAAAACATGGGTAAAACTGCTTTTCCTGGGTGAAACTGTATAGAGTTGAGCTTTGTCTTTAAAATATAAATGACTATCTAAATCATCTACAAATCGTTCAAATGTGAAATGGCCCATTGATAGTTGCTGCAAGAATATCACAGAAAGCCCCAAAGTGATAAGTGATGAGGTAGTCTCTTTCCTTCATCCTCAAGAATAAATACTATGTGTGCATTAGGGTCAGCCAGTAGCTAGCTGGATGTTTTAATTTTGTAAGGATCTAAGTTTAGCTCTGGCTTCAGTACAAAAATCACAGCCCTTATTTTATAGGCACAGCTCACAATTGTGATTTTTGCGGGGAGGTCATTTCTAAGCCAAAAGACGTCAGCAAGCAGTTTAAGGGCAGCTGAGATTTTTCACCCTAAAAGGCAGAGGAAAGGGTAGCTGGAGAGAGGAGAGGAAAAACCAAACATGTGCCTGTTATTTTTTGCTGGCATGTAGAGCTGAATTAAGCACACCGTCCATGATGGAGTCAGGAGCAGTGACTGAGCTATGTTGGTCTCCAGGGATTAACTGAGCTGGTGATCAGGTTACTGGTATTAACATATTGAGATTTGTCTGGATGAAATATGGCGACAGATTCTGTTATCTGTTACTTTTTTTTTCCTGTCTTTACTTTTTAGTCACTGTTTTCAATGCTCTAGCTTCTGTTGGTATGTATGTATGTACAGGGAACAAAACTGAGGAGTAGCAAGTTGAGTAGTAGAAAAGAGCATTCCACCTACAAAATGATTTTCCATGTGCTACCTTATTAATGTACGCTGCTCCATTACGTTGCTGCTGTTGACCTCAAAGACAACATCACTAATGAACACCAAGAATATGTTTTCCTCATCTTGAATTAAGTTCTACTGTTTGTGTGACTCAAGGCAGGTAAATTAACAATACCTCAGCTTCCTTCCATAAAATGAAGAGCTCTGACATAATCATTTTCTGGCTCTAACATGCTTTGGTTCAAATTTTATCACTAACACACAAATGGTAATTTAGTATATGAGTTTTAAGCACATTATAGTCCCCCCAAATTTAGAGCCAGCTCAGCCTGGTAATTTGCTTAGGTGGCATATTCCCAAGTAGTTAGAAAAGACTTAGAAAGGGGAGTTAAGAGGATCACAAGTCCCAGGACTGTCTCAGTAACTTATTGAGACCCTGTTTCAAAAAATAAAATAAAATAAAAAGGCTGGAAATGTAGCCCACTAGTACAGCACCCCTGGGTTCAATCCCCAAGTATCTAAAGAAAAAAGACAAAGGGATCTATTTAGGTCTAGTACATTTACTTGAACCAATTGTCATTAACCATTGACTCATTATTCCCTAGTTTGTAATTACCGAGGGAACATGATAATCTACACTAGCTATACAATAACACTAAATTATATTTTTTGTTTAAAATGAATTAAATCAATTAAAAGAAAATTAAATTTTAAGCTTATCTGACTTTTCAGCTTTATGCTTTCATTATGGTAAAACAAATATAGGAAGCTTTACTATAAGTATTGGGAATGATTTTTGTTTTTAAAACAATTTTAGATGCCTTGTATTATGATAATTTACTTCTGTGTCTGTATCTCCCACTAGACTGTGCACTCTGATTACAGGGACTGAATCTGTTTCTCCATTGTTTCACAGTGTAACTCTTAGATAGGCACATTCAAAAAAGCATCAGTTTAAAGAGTAATTCAAATATGGGGGCTGGGACTATAGAGCTCAGTAGCTCAGTTGGTAGAGTGCTTTCCTCACATGCACAAGGCCCTGGGTTCAATCCCCAGCACCACACACAAAAAAAAAAAAAAGGAACTTGAAAATATTTCAAGAAGGATTTTCGTAGTTGTTGGTGATGATAAATGAATTTCCAGTGCAGTGGGGAAAGAAAAAAGAAAAGAGACTGTTGGCTTTGACCTTGACTACAGAGTTAACTGAGATATGTGCGAGACTGTGGGTTGGTAAGTTTTATTCTCTCAAAAATTTTAAATAAATCAAAAGCAAAAGTAACTTTCAACAGTGATTCCCATAAAATTGAAGGAAAATGGCATGGTTAATTCACTAGGGAAAAAAGGAACAAAATGTTGTATAAATTGAGTATGCTCAAGTGCACGACTTCATAAAAACAATATACAATGAAGTGAACAGGTTTGGGGCAGAATCCTTTAAATGTTGGGTATCTGTAATTAAATAAAGGTGCACTGTGGAATCTTTAGACATATAGAAGAATGTGGCATCTTCCCTAGTGTACAAACAAAACAAATTGGATAAATTACAGGATATCATTAAGTCCTCCTGTAAATGGGACAGAAGTTTTAAAGAGAACCCATATCACATACGACATGAGGGAAAATAAACAAAATTAAATGTCATAGGAGATATTATTATTTTATATGTTGCAGAAAAACTTCAAAGATGTACTATAGATCAGAGCTGGACTGTTATTACTACTTACGAAGGCTGGAATAAAATGCTAAGCTTTTTAGGAAGGATAAGGGATATAAAAATCACAATGAGAGGAAATATGGTTGGGATAACAAGAAAACTACATATAAAAACATATCAGGGCCTGAACATTGTGTGCAGGGGGTTGAGATGTAAACAGGTCTTTTCAACTTTACCAACTTTGGTACAATGAAGAATAATTTCCCTTTAGCTGTTGTTTAAAGATGATTTCTACCATATTCAAAGATTTGTTAATACTGACAGCTAAAAAACTTCTCAAAACGTGACACACATAATGTCTACACACAGAATGGAAATAACATAATACAATTTTAATCCCAGGGCCTAAATGCCTAAAACATGAAAGACTACCTAAGCTCCATCTACTAAAGTATAGTGATTTTCAGTTGTGTAATCAATGAACAAGGTGGTAAAATATTTACTCATTCATTCACCTCCAGTGTTCATTATGTGCCTACCAGGTGTCATGTCCTCCAGACACAAAGATGAAAAGACAATTGTTGCCCACTTGAACACCAAACTTTAGTGAGGGATTTGAGAGGCATTGTAGAATGCACAAAGCTCAGTCATAGTAAGCAAACTCATAGTGAAATGCTCATAGGTAGGTTGCAGGACTGGCCTTAACTGCTAAAATAGACCGTAAAATATCTAACTTCCATATAAGTTTTACTGGAGTTAAGTAATTTTTTAAGTAGGGCTCTGAATCAGTGATTCTCAATATAGAGGGCATGGCATTATCATAGATAATACATTTCCATTACTAAAATTTTTATAAACAACAAAATAATCTGTGGAAGAGTAAGGTCAAAACTAGTTTTAGTATTGTTATTGTTATTTTTTTTTCAGTTCTGGGGATGGAACCCAGGATGCTATGGAACCCATGCTAGGCCAGCCACTGAGCTATGGCCCCAGTCCTTTCTGTTATTCTTAAGATATCCTTGAAAGTATTTGGCTAGCATGTAAACTGTGAAATTAACAGTGGAAAGATATCAAACAGAAAGATACCACTGTAAAAGAAAAAAAAATAAACAAGGAAAATCTAACCAAAATATTGATTCATTTTTCAAAATAGAACTTTTTTTACCGACTTTGCTAAATATATATTGAGAAGAAAACACATATTGCTTTAAAATACATATGTAAAATATACACAAGTATATACATTTATCTACACTAATTTTACTTTTTAACTGCACTACATAGAAATAAAACATTTTAAACTTGCATTGATAAGACCATTTTTTATAAATGCTACTTGGTCAGGAGTTTACCTACATTTGAATTTAGGACCTCAGTAGAAATGCTCAGGGAATATACCAGTTAGGAGTCTCAGCTCTCTAATCAAACCACCAAAATAAGGTCTGTAGTCCAGCTCATTCAAATACTAATTTGCTATCTTGGGAAAGCTAATTCATAATTTTGTCCCTTAGTCTCCTCATCTAGAAAATGGGATGACACTAGCACCTGCTTCACAGGATGTCTGAATTGCTAAATGATTTCACAAACAATATATAAATAGGATCAATGCCCAGTACACAGCTAGCTCCAATTAATGTTAGTTTGTCATGGCGTTATTCATACTCGTATACAATGTAGATATTAATGCATTATTCACATGTTCTTCATTGAATATTGCCTTCTTACCAAGGGATAAAGTTAAAAGGCAAATTTAAAAACCGCAACTCAAGCACTCCAGTTATTGGTAACTTCAGATATTTATGGTTCATTACTTGCTTGCTAACTTTGAGACAGTTCTTGGTAGACTATGTGTAAATTTGCCTCTTTGTTAGGGAGACCAAACCAAACCAAAGAAAAACTCCAAACAGAAGCAAACAAAAACAGTCCATGCAAAGGAAGTAATAAGAAAGCAAAGACTAACAGAGCCATAAACTCAAAAATATATAAAAAACTGTGGCATTGGTGAGTATATTGGTTGCAAAGAAATAAATGCTGGTAGATACAATATATAATAGCCCTGCCATTATGATGTAAAATAGGAAAAAATAGGAAAAGTACTTAATATATTAGAATAAAGAAATTAAAACTAAGGATCCACAATAGAGGGAAGGGAGCAGAGGGTGGAAGGAGGGAGGGGGAAGGAGAGGTACTGGGGACTGAATTAGAGCAAGATACATTCCATGCTTTTATAATTATGTCAAAGTGGATTCTACTGTCATGTATAACTAAAAAGAACCAATTAAAAACAAAGTCTAAAGGATCAGGAAGAAGCCACAGAGTTTGAAGTATTCAAAGAAGTAATACTCTTTTCTTTTTTGCCCTGGAAATTTAACACAGGGATACTCTT